GGAGTGAGCTGGGGTCCGACTTCTCCCGCAGAGGTTAGGGCAGGGGTAACTGGGCTCTTGCTGTGGGGCTTGAGGCAGAAAGTGGAGTCTGTGTCGGAGGGGAGGGTGTGTGGGGGTCTCGCCAACAGCCACCGTATTTCTGGGCCCCTCTCCACCCTCTCGGATGACAGCGTGCGAACGGGAGGCCTCCCCGGAGATGGGGTGGGTCAAGAGAACCGAGCCCACCGTGGACCTCCCTCCCAGGCCCGGAGGACGGGCTCCGCGTCAGCGCCCTCTTCTCCATTCAGACTCTGCAGCGCTCTGCTGAGTCATCCTTCCGTCCTCCACTTCCAGCTGTCCCTGGCACCTAGCAAAGTCTCAAAGGACGTCCGCGGAGGTGAGCGCCCCTGGTAAACGCGCTCCGGGGCGTGGACCGCGTGGCCAGCTCTGCGCATGCGCTGCTCGGCAGCAGGACCCCGACTTGCGGCCCAGCTGCGAACCCGCGAGACGCGTGTCATTAATCACAAATGAAACACAGCGAGACTCTTTAGCAACACAGGTGTTTGGACGCCAGGGGAACCTAAGGCAGGTGGGACAGACACGGCGGTTTTGTGCGGAAAGCAGGCTCGGGCCTGCAGGGGTAGGTGTGGGGTGGGGTCTCCTCCTAGCTTCTCTCACGCATCCGCTGTCCCTCCCTTAGCTTTCAGAGGTGCTGGCTGGCTCCAGAAAAATCCGAAGCGGTGATACCAGGTATCCAGATTCACCTTAAATGAGTCTGTCGCCCTAATCGTGTTGAAACGTGTGGCCAGCCAATGGGACTGGCTCCTGGTCGGGAGCGAGGCTGGCTCTTCATAGAACTGGGAGGAATTACATTTTGTCTCCCACCCACTCCTACCTTCCCTGTGAGTGTCCTGCCCCCTCCTTCCCTGGCTGTGTGTACTGGCTCTTTCTCTTTTCTAAAAGACTAGGTTTGTCACCTGATTCCATGCTGGGAAGTATTCCTAGAATGTTAGGGGCACAGGGTACAGGTCATAACTCAACTATTAAAAACCTTAGATTTAAAACTTTCAAGTCTGAGGTTTCTCCTCAGCTCTTCCTGGAAAAGTCATGCCCTCCCTGACCCTCTACTTTCCTGTTTCCACCGGCCTGCCTGGTGTCCCTGGCCTTCTCTCAGCCCCTCACCTGGACTTGGGTCCACAGGAACATCTGGAACCTTGGGGCCAGGGCGACGCCAGCTGCACGGCTCCTTCCCCGGTTCGGTCTGGGAGAGGACCTCAGGCTTGGAGATGGCGTAGTCTGAGGAAGGATATGAAGGTTAGCTTTCGCCATGTGGTTCCATTCAGAGCTGGTGACAGGCAGCCTGGGAATCCACGAGTGGCCCAGAATCGAAACGTCTAGATTAGTACAGAGCACTGATTCTCAACCATGGGCAATTTTGTCTCCTGGGAGACATCTCACAGTCTGGAGACATTTTTGATGGTCATGACTGGGGGTTGGGGTTGAGGTGCTCCTGGCATTGGTGGGTCAAGGCCAGGATGTTGTGGAACATCCCACACGGCACAGAATAGCCCCACGACAACCAATCATCTGGCCCCAAAGTCCGTGCCCAGGTGAAGACACTCTGGTAGGGTCTCCCTGTTAAGAAGTGGTGTGTTTCTTTAACCTGAAATCTACCATCACGCCTGCCCGTTCCCACCATCACTGAGCAGGCCTTACGCCTCCAGATCTGGGGTCACACAGAAATCATCCCAAGAGGAAAGCAGCTCAGGGAGGAAGAGCCTTCTGGGGCCACTGCACACAGACAGTGACAGCGGCCCCGAGGGTCTGAGGGAGCAGAGCCTTGAGGCATGAAGACAGCGCTGGCACGGAAGCATGGTCTGCCCATATTCTCCACTAACCACTAACTCACCAGAAAGGCCACATACCCCTGTAACAGAAGGCTAAAGGAATGTGGGCCTGAGAGCAGCCTGAGGCTTTAGAGCAGGCCCACTGATGATGAGAGCAGCCCAGGCTTTAGACTCTGTCTTGGCAGCATGGAGACGTCCATGCTCAAAGCCTGGTTAGAGAAACGCCATCACCCTTCTCTGTGTGGCCATCCACGAATGTCACCAGGTAGAGGGAGTTTTTGACTCGGTCACCTGGTGCTCGTCTTTAGTAGGAGGAGAAGAAAACTCCTTGCATGGTCAGAGTTTTCTAGTGATTTACACATTGTTGTGACGAAAACCACCAGCACAGAGAGGTAGGTCTGGGGGCTCCCAAAGTCACACGTAACAGGAGAATGAGTGTCATGCCTTACCCAGGGACACCAGCGTCTCGTAGTTGCCCCGCATCACGTGCTTGTAGAGCTCCTTCTGCCACTCGTCCAGCTTGCCCCACTCCTGCTCAGAGAAATACACGGCCACGTCATCAAAGGTCACGGGCACCTGGAACCACAGGGGTCACGCATGCTCACCCACACACTTACAGGCACGGTCCCTCGGGCTGTCCCACCCCAGGGGCCCGAGGGATACCTTGGGGGCCTCCCCCTTGCTGCCCGGGGGCAGGCGCAGGATCCAGAAATTTCGGTTCCTCAGCAGGTTCTCCATGTTCTCCAGCCGCCTCTGCAGCAGCCCGTACTCCTGCAGCAGGGTCCCCAGCACGGCCCACTTGCCCTCCAGCTGGTTCCCGAACTCCACGGCTGTCTTCTCGCAGTCCGCCAGCTTCTTCTCGGCCATCCCCGTCCGACCTTCTAGCGAAAGCAAGCGGGCAGCCTGCGATTCGATCTTCCTCTCCATGGCCTGAATTGTGGCTGCCATCGTCCATGGAGAAATCTTTCAGAAACAAAGAGAAGTGTACCCTCATTCATTCCATCCACCGCCTTCCTTCAGCCCCTCTCCCCTGGGTGCTGGGGAGCTGGGCGGTGGGGGGGTGGGGGGGCACAGAGCTCGGATTAAAAGCGGGAATGCCCTGGGCCACAAGCCCGATCTCAGCCTAGGATGGCCTTCTCGGGGTAACTCAGACTCGGCCACCATCTGGGCAGGTGCCTTCCTGCCGGGGGGGCTCGGATCGCCCGGACTGGGGACCTCCCGCATCTCCCCGAGCTGACTCCCTGAACCCAGCTTTTGCAGCAGAGTGCATGGCCTGTGGAAGGTGCTCCGTGCACTTCTGCTAAATAAACAGCGCCTTTGCACTGCTGGGGTGTTTCAGCGGATAAATAGTAAACCGCAGATCCACCAGCGCCCAGCCAGCACCTCCCATCATAATCACGCAGGACTGTGTACGGACGATGACCTAGCAAAAAACAAAAAACAAAACAAAACAGCCGGTTCACTGAACCGGCACAAACATGAGCATTGCTCAACTGTTTTTGTTTTGTTTTGTTTTGAAGCATCTCGTCTCTTTTTAATAAACATAAAAATCAAACAGCTAATCCTTCTCCCCCCAGTGCCATCTGATTTTGTCCCCTCCTGTTACTCTTCCTTAAACTAACAATCACCATTACTGCAAATCTCCACCAGCCAAGAGTTAGACTTTTTGACCCACGTGGCAGGCATGAGTCAAGGGGACAAAATCAACACGGGTCCGCTGGGCCCTCTGAGACTCTGTTTCTCTCGCTGTCTTCACCGCTCCCAAGGGGAAAACTAGTCTGACATCTGTAGCTCCTTGGGGAGCACGGACACACCTTACAGACTGGTGAGGAAGGTAAAACATATGCCATAAGGTTAGACTTTAATGCATACGACTTCCTTGTTGCTGGAAACTTCACATGTAGCCTGAGTGACCTGAGAGGTGGCAGTTGGGAGACCGCGAGGAAAGGGCACATTTTGCCTTGAGGAGGGGCCAAACTGGCCGACCCACCCTCATGTGAAGGTGGGCCCTCTGGGTCAGAGAGGAGATCCAGATATCTGCACTTTCTTCTGGCTGTGCCTGAGGACACATGTCTCCTTAGAACATTCTGGAAACTATTCCCAAACAGTAGTAAAATGAAGAAGTGACTAATAGGGAGCAGTGTAGGCTCATTTGGAGAAAGGCATGGAGAACTACAGCATGGGTGGAAAAGAGTGAGAGGAGAGTGTGAGCAGAGGCCAAAAACACTGTCGAACCCCATCAGAGCTTCCGTGGTTGTTTGGAACGAGACTGCACGAGGTGACCTCTGACCTGAGGAAGGAAGGGGTTTGGCTGGGGAGGAGCTGGTGGGCAGAGGGCTGTGGTGGGTGGGGCTCTTGCTCTCAGGAGGCAGGTGTTTCTGCCCCTAGGCCGCAGGGACTGCACTGGACTGGCTCCCTGGGCCACCCTCCACGGCAGCAGTTACCCTTCCCTTGCCCACTTGTCCTTTCTGATCAGTCCCTGCCACCTGACTCCCGCCTCCAAGAGCCTGCTCCAGAAGTCACCCAGCTCCCCAGCTACTGAAATCCTATTCAGCCTCCGAGTGCCCTTGACCGCCACAGGACGGCAACCTTTGCGTTGCAGGAAAAGGACACCTCCATAAACCCTTTTTATAAGACGCCAGGCACACACAGTGTGCTTACCATTTCAATGGGCGCAGGGAGCCCTAGGGCCTCTGCACTATTTAGTGGGAGGTGGTGACTGTTTCTGCGCAGGCCCAGCTCCATACTAAATGGTGGGTGGGTAATATGGGGCTGCCCTCGGACTCCTGCCAGGGAAGCAGAAACCCTATGCTTGCGAGGAGCCCATGGTAGAACTCCAAATCCATCCAGGATCCCCCCCCCCCCCCCGCCCCCACAGGATGAAGTCCAGGCATTAAAAGCCCTTCCAACTCTCCCTGCAGCCTTCTCTCCCACTGCCTCCTCACCAAAACCATCTTCCATGGACCAGGGACTGGATTCTGGTCCTTGAACCCGCTGGGCACAGCCTTCTCTCGGAGCGCAAGCTGTCCTCCCTACCTGGAAAGCTGCACCGGTCCACTCGGCCTGATGAAATCCTAGCCTTCCTTAAAAGCCCAGCTCAAATCACAACAGCACAGGCCGTGAAGGGGTGCCAGCGCCTCCCTCTCCTTCCCCTGCCCTCCCACAGCACCTTTCTGCCTCAATGCCAGAACCACTCACTCACTCTGTTTGCACCATTCTCACCAGTGTACCTGTCTGCTTCCCCCAACACACAATGTGTCCCTGAATACAGACCAGCTGTGTCTTTTCACACACTTTCTAGCTGGGCGATCCTAGGCAAGTTAACTTCTCCAGGCCTCGGGTTTTTCCTTTGTATGACGGAACGAGCACCTACCCCCCAGGTTTGTTGTGAGGACAAAATAATGCCTAACAGGGCTGGTGCCTGCCCGCTTCTACGAGAAGGAGCAGCTGTCTTCCTTCCCGACCTCCATCGGGCTGGGCACTCGGCGTGTGCGGAATCGAAGCCGCTTCGGACACCTCCCAGGTGCCACCAGGCCGCTGGGGGGAGCTGGGGGGTAGGGAACGCTGAGGCAGAGCGGTGGGCAGAGAAAGGAGACGCGGGGTGGGGGGCGCGGAGAGGAAGGGGCCAGCGGATGGGGCGGGGGCAGGAAGCCGCGGAGGGCTGCAGGAACTCGGCGTGGGGCGGCCTCCGCTGCGGGGTCGGCCAGGTCCGCCCTGCTCCGGTTCGGCAGCGAATGGGGGGCCCGGCCGGCGGGCGCCGTAGGCCCCGGCGGACCCCGCGCTCCGCCCGCCGGAGCCCAGGCCCGGCGGCCCGGCCCGGCCCACGGAGCCCCTCCCCAGGGCCTGCGGCGCCGAGTGCTGGGCCCGGGCCCCGAGTCCGCGCGTCCGTGCGCGCGGGCCACCCTTACCGGAGCCGCGGCCGCCTCGGCCATGGCCGTGCGCTGTCCGGCCCGGCCCGGAGGAAGTCGCCGCCGCCGCTGCCGCCGCCGCCGCCGCCGCGCGGCTCCACGCAGGCCGACCCCCGGCCTCTCCGCAGGCGGCGCCCGCCCGGCCCTGCCTTCCCCGCCCGCGTCGTCGCGCTCCTCGCTGGCCGGCCCGCGCCGCTCCGCCCGCAGACGCGCCGCCGCCGTCAGCGCCCGGCCGGTCCACACTGCATCCTGGGAGCCGGCGCAGGCCCGTGAGGCTTCCTGGAGGCAGCGCGGCCGCACAGCCCCACCTGCAGCCGGGAGAGGCGAACGGCAGGCGCGGCGTCCGCCCCGCCCCGCCCCGCCCCGCGGCCAGCCGACCCACCCACCCGCCCGTCCACCGGCCCGCGGATCCCTGGATCTCCCGGCCCCGCCACCCACCGGCCTCCGGAATCCGCGACCACCCGATCCCGGACCCACAGACCACCCCCCCCGACCTCCCGACCCACCGGCCTCTCGACCCCCGACCGCCGACCTCCCGACCTCTGACCCCCCACGCCCCCGACTCCCTGACTTCTCGATCCACCAGTGCACGAGCCCGCCGACCCCTCCGACACCCTGACCCACTGACCCACAGGTCCACCGGCCTCCCTACCCGCCGACCCACTTGGATCCACAGGTCCCACCCGCCCTGTCCGACCCACAGGCCAGCCGCCCACCAGCCCTCCCGACCCCCTGAACCACCACCTATGCTGCTCGGCCCACAGGTTTCTGGACCCCCGGACTCACTGCCCCCCGCAACGCTGCCCCACCCACTGGCCCCTGCCCCTCCCCCCCAGACCCACGCGCGTACAGACCCCCTCACCCCTCGACCCCTCCGCCCCGACCCACCGGCCTCCCGCCGGGCGTGCGCGGATGCACGGCCTGGATCCCACGTCGACCTGCCTCCTGCCCGCCTCCCGCTCCATCCCGAGGGACTCGCTTACTAAAAGGAATTTCCCGGCTCCGGGGACCAGCCGGGCCGGGCCGGGTGACCGCGGCGACAGCCCCAGAAGACCCGTGCCTTCCCCCACAGGGCATCCGCCACGTCGCCTCCGAGGCTTTAGGTCTTTGCCAGGCAATTTGGGCTTTTCATGTATTTATTTGTTTATTTGGACAGCTGTAACTCAACGTCTGTCTTGGTTTGAAAGAGAATAAATTCTTCCAACGACAGGAAAGTAGTTCGGTAAATCCCGGTGGACTGCCACTTCGAACTTTCCGTAATGTGTTTATTATTTATAACAAATATTTCTAAGTGGAATGAACACAATACCATATTTATAATTGTTTTGGTGAAGAACTTGCTGTGGGAAGGCGTTCGTGGTATTTTAAGAGGAGAAGTCTGTCCAGAATGATCTCAGTTTTGTGTAAAAGAAAAAACACCAGCGCGAGTCGGGAAGCCTACAGAGCGACACAAGTTAGCTTCCCTTTTCTTGCACAGTGAGACCACGGGCCGTTGTTTATACGTCTTCTAACATTTTTTTTTCAATTCCTGTTTTTATTTTGTAGCAATAAGAACAGAATCTTTTAAACAAAAAGGAGGCAAAAATTAAATAAATAATTGGAAAAACTCCTTAAGAGGCAAACCCAGGCTAGCGGGATGGAAGGAGCCTTTGAATGGGGCCCCCATGTGGTCACAAAGACGCATTTCAAACTTGCAGAGTTTCCTCTAAGAGGGACTCTTTCCTAAAAAGCAACCTGCGCCCCACGTGGTCCAGACCTCTCTACTGGGGTCTAGCTTTGGGGTCTAGCAGGCGGGGGTCTTCTCATGCTCTTTGCTTTGTCTCCATGAGCCTGGCCCGAAGCTACGCAATGGGGATCAGCCACGATGCATTCTTCTCTCTGTGTAAAAGTAGAATCTCCCCAGGGGTAGGGGGAGATTCACTCCAGAATCTGCTCCCCCGGCCTGATTTTCTTTTTCTTACTGATGCTAAGCCCAGCTGTTTTCAGATGCCCCCAGCTCTCGAAGGTTGCCCCTCAAATGTAGGGATGGGGTGGGCGAAGGATAGGAGATTGCCACATTGGAGCTCATGGCACCCCTTTGCCTTTTGGAATAAGTCCCTGAAAGGCTGTGGTAGACGCACTCACTGTGGGAGAGTGTTCCTGAACTGCCCATGGTCCTTTTCCTATTTGTGTTTCTTCTTCTAGCTTTGTTTCCACATGATTCTTTCCCCTCCCAAATCACACATTTCCTCTGCCAGGGTGGACCCACGTTTTATGGGCTTGAAATGGTTATATCTTATATGATTTAGAGAATATTATTAAGAAAAAAACTTCACAAAATTGCACATGTAAAAGTAGATGCAGAGCTGGTGCCAGGCAGGTGATCTGAATCTTAAGATTTATTAGCTTCACGGTAAGGTCCTTGATTAAAAAACGAAACGAAACATAAACAGCCATGGGAACATACCCAAGCCGGCCTCAGTTGGGACGTGTGCCCTGGGGTTATTGCGGGAGGAAGTGGGAGTCAGAGAAATAATGAAAGTTCTGCCATTAGCTGGCGCAGATCTCCAGGCAAGACAGCCGGCCTCGCATACGTACAGTGAGAAGATTGGAAGGGGCTCTTCTGTGACTTTCCTGAGCCTGGCCTTCCTGCCACCACCAATTTGCTTTGACCCAAGTGAAGACAGCTGTGTCCATTCCCACCGTGGGCTTCATGCTGGGCCCTGCATGATAGCTTGTTCATAGTCACAAGGTACCACACATTGCTCCTGGATTACCTTGGAGAAGGGGGTTTCCTCCTTTTCGAGGAAACAGAGGTGTTACCTGCACCGTGATAGGGCCCCTTAGGGTCCCGGGCTTCCCTGATGCAATGTGTCACCGCCCCAACGTGGGGGTGTGAGCTGCGTGGGGCGGGGCACAGCCCGTGTCTCGGGAATGAATTCTTCCCAGGACGGAGGAGCTGATGGTGTTGGTTCCCACCTCCAACAAAGGGTGCCCCTTCCCAGCAGAGTTGAAAGCCACACCCATCTGAACCGGCCTGTGGTTGGACCCATTCATCTTTGTACTTTCCAAGGCTGGCAAACTGCCTAGCACACAACTGGGAAGAAAGTGTGGGTGTGCACGTGTGTGTCTTATGCGTGTGTATAGTTTTCTCTGTGTTTTCCAAACAGGGCAGACCTTTTAAAGTAGATAAAAATTCGAACTGGATCTTGAAGGATGGGCAGAATTTTCATAAGCCAAGAGCATTTTGGACCAGAGAGCAGTAGTAGAAATGTTAGCTGGGGGAACAGCAGAGGAAAAAAATGGGGGCAGGAAGTTACAAAACATGTTTAGAAGGAACACGGTCATGGTCCCGGTGGGCTAGGACTTTAAACCACAAGGGAGAATAGGCTGGGCCATATTGCGATAAGCTTCTACAAACTTTGTTCAGGCCAAGGAGCTGGATTCAGTTGGGGCCGAGCATGCATGAGCCATTTGTGATGCGGACAGGGAGACGGACCTGCAGGACGGCGATGATGGTGTGGGGAGGGTTGAGGGGGATGAGATTAACCGGGAGGATCCTGCAGAGCCCAAGCGTGAAGGGAGAGAACGTCTGGCCAAATGCAGCAGGAGCCGGAACAGGAAGGAAGGAGAGAGAGAGAGAGAGAGAGAGAGAGGGAGAGGGAGAGGGAGGGAGAGGGGGAGGGAGAGGGAGAG